GAAGAAATGCTGAATGGAGTTTTTTAAGCTGAAATGGTAGAATCATAATTAGTAACACAAAAATATAGGAAAATATACAATACACTGGTAAAGGTAAGTATAGAGTCAAACTCAGAACAATCTAACACTGTACTATGATGGTGTGTTAATCACTTAACTCTAGTATAAAGGTTAAACAACAGAAGTTTTAAAAATAACTATAGTTACAATAATTTGTTAAAAGATACATAATATAAAAAGAGGTAAACTCTGATATCAAAACATAAAATGTAGAAGGGGAGTAAAAGGGTACAGTTTTTGCAGGAACTGAATTTAAATTTGTATCAACTTGAAATAGATTATTATAACTTTAAGATGCTTTATATGTCTCATGATAACCACAAAGCAAAAACCTACAGTTGATGCATAAACACAATGAGAAGAGAATCAAAGCTTTCCACTATGGAAATTCATCTATTCACAAAGAAAGACAGCAAGAGGGGTAGAAGAGGAACAAGGGAATAACAAAACAGCCAGAAAACAATTAATAAGATGACATGAGTAAGTATTGACCTATCCATAATTACTTACAATTTAAATGTATTAGATTCTCCAATAAAAAGACATGAAGTGCATGAATGGATTAGAAAAAAAGATCCAACTCTATGCTGCCTACAAGAAACCCACTTCAACTTTAAGGACACACATAGGCTCAAAATGAAAGGATGGGAAAAGATATGCCATGCAAATGGAAGCCCCAAAACAGCAGATGTAGCTACACTTATATCAGACAAAATCGATTTTAAGTCTAAAACTATAACAAGAGACAAAGAGAGTCATTATACAATGATAAAGGGGTCATTTCATTAAGAGGATAAAATAATTGTAAATATATATGCACCAAATATTGAAGCACATAAGTGTATTAAGCAAATACTAACAGATTGAAAGGGGGAAACATATAACATTACAATGATAGAAGGGGAATTCAATACCCTATTTTAAACAATGGAGAGACCATCCAGACATTAAATTAATAAGGAAACATTGGACTTGAACTATAACATAGACCAAATGTCCTAACAGACATATACAGAACATTCCATCCAACAGCAGCAGAATACAAATTCTTCTCAAGTGCACATAGAACATTAGCTAGGGTACATGATATATTTGACCACAAAAGAGGCCTTAAAAAAGTAAGAAACTTGAAATAATACCAAGTATCTACTCCAACCACAATGGTGTGGAAGTAGAAATCAATAACAAGAAGAAAACTGGAAATTAAAACAAATAAGTGAAATCCAGCCATTTGTGACATCATGGATGGACATTGAGGGTATTATGCAAAGTGAAATAAGTCAGAGGGAGAAGGTCAAATACCGTATGATTTCCTTCATTAAGTAGTAGATAATAACAACAATAAACAAATACATAGGGACAGAGATTGGATTGGTGGTTACCAGAGGGGAAGGGGGGGGGGAGGGTGAAAGGGATAATTCGGTACATGTGTGTGGTGATGGGTTGTAATTAGTATTTTGGTGGTGAACATGATGTAGTCCATGCAGAAATAGAAGTACAATGATGTACACCTGAAATTTTTACAATGTTATAAACCAATGTTACTGGAATAAACAAAAAATTAAAAAAAAAACAAAACAAAAACAAAAAAAAAAACAAGTGAAAATGAAGCAATAAAATCCTGAAAATTAAATGAGTCAAAGAGCAAATACAAAGGGGAAAAAAATATTTGGAAACAAACAAAATGAAAACACAACCTACCAAATCTTATAGGATACAGCAAAAGCTATTTTACAAGGCAAGTTTATGGCAATAAATGCCTACATTAAGGAAAAAACAATCTGAAATCAACAACCTAAACTTACACCTCAAGGACCTAGAAAAGTAAAAAGAAACCAAGACCAAAGGTCTCATAAATAAGGAAATAACAAGAATCAGAGCAGAAACAAAAGATATAAAGACCAGAAAAATGATAATGATCAATAAAACTAAGAATTGTTTATTTGATAAGATAAAAAATTGGCAAACTTTTAATTAAACTGAGTAAAAAAAAAAGACAGAAGCCTCAACTCGAGGAGAAGTCAAGATGGTGGTGTAGTCAGACTTTGAACTCATGTCCTCCTGTGGACACAGCCAATTTACAACTACTTTTGGTAAAATTATGCGAGAGAAAGTATTGAAAACTGCATACGAAGACCTCCTGCAACAAATGACAATCCTAACTGAGGTGGAAGAGACAGAAATTCCCTTCTGGAGAGAAAAAACACCACTTTCACAATCTGCAGCACCTCACAGCTGCCTGGAAGCAGCCCAAAGGTACGCTGCCCTCCCTGGAGGAGTGGGGATCATGAGCCGGGGAGCATGCCCACTATAGGCATTTTTTTGACCCAGCACAATCGAGATGAGGGGCATAATATCTTACTTTGCTTGCTACTAAAACATTGGGGCGTACCCCCCAGAAAAGCTGGTTCACAAAAAAATTAAAACCAACTCTTAAAGAGCCCACGCAGAAATGCACCCATTTCAGAAAGCAACCTAAAATCAGCAGAAAGAAAGGTGCACAGCCCTTTGTGGAAAAGAGACTCACCTGATAGGCTCCGAGTACATCTCAGTGAGAGGTGAGACCTCTTCAGGTACTGGAACATTGGTAGTGGCCATTGTTGTGACCAGGTATGGGCATGCTGACACACACACCGGCAGATGCCATTGGAGCTCTCCCTGGGGCCTGCTAGCCCAGGGTCTGCCCCACCCACTAGAGCACTGATTTAATCTAGCAGAGCCACGGCAGGCAGCCCACCTTAGGAACTGGTCTCACCCAACAACAAGCCCTCGGGCAACTTGTGGGCCTGCATAGATTGGTGACTGGATTCTCTGAATCCTGGTGATGGGGCCCTGTTAAGTGGGGTAGGGTGTGTGCAAGGAGCGGGTGGAGAGTGTGGGGCAGTGGTGGAGTGTGTGGGCAGACTGGGTCCACTTCAGGAGGTTAGGGCATGCACATGTGGCAGGACTGTATTGACTGTGTGTGTGGACCTGTAGGTGGTAGGACTTGTCAGCTGCAGAAGACTTGTGTTTCTCAAAGAGCAACATAGGGGATTGGCCCCACCTTCCAAAGCCTAAAAGAATTGGGTGCTCCCATGCCTGAGACCAGCCCCACCTGATGCAATCCTCAGAGAGTTGACAAGTGTAGAGGCTAACAGCAATTGTAAGCCCCTGAGGATAACAACCTACCACACCAGGGGCCTAATCACTTAATAGAAATCCAGCAACAGGAATGTGATATTAGATCTTGCAGTCAACTGTGCTGGGACACCTCACACACAATAAAGAGACTGAAGGGCCTACAACAACTACATGCAACTGAGAATTACAATAGCTGGCCAGGTGCATAGCTCAGCATCCCTGGGCACCTAGGTGAAGAATAACCCCGCCATAACAGAAAGACACACGTAGCCCACATAAGGGTCACCCCTGGAACATTGAGAACTGAGGGAAGTACACTGGAAGCCTCCTAAGGCATCACTTACATAAGGTCACCTATCCAAGAGCAGGAGAAGTAGCTGACCTACCTAATACGTAGACACAAGCACAGGGAAAGAGGCAAAATGAGGAGGCAAAGGAATACGTTCCAAGTAAGGGAACAGGACAAAACGCCAGAAAAGGACCTAAGTGAAACAGAAATGAACAACTTACCTGACAGTGAGTTCAAACAAAGAGTGTTAAGGATGCACTCTGATCTTGGGAGAAGAATGGATGAACTCAGTGAGAATGTCAACAAAGAAATGGAAGATATAAAAAAGAACCAATCAGAAATGAAGAATACAACACTGGAAATGAAAAATTCACTAGAGGGACTCAAAAGCAGGGTAGAGGATACAGAAGAACACATCAGCGAGCAGGAGGAAAGACTAGAAGAAATCACCCAAGCTGAACAGATAAAAGATAAAAGAATTAAAAAGAGGGAAGACAGTCTAAGGGACCTCTGAGACAACATCAAGTGCACTAACATCCACATTATAGGTGTCCCAGAAGGAGAAGAGCGAGACAAACGGGAAGAGAATCTACTTGTAGAAATAATAACTGAAAACTTCCCTAACCTAAGGAAGAAAGCCGCCACCCAGGTACAGGAAGCACAGAGAGCACCAAACAAGATAAACCCAAAGAGGCCCACACCAAGACACATCACAATTAAAATGTCAACAATTAAAGATAAAGAGAGAATCCTAAAAGCTGCAAGAGAAAGACAAGCTACATACAAAGGAAACTCCATAAGGCTATCAGCTGACTTCTCAGCAGAAACCTTACAGGCTAGAAGAGAGTGGCATTATATATTTAAAGTCCTAAAAGGAAAAAAATCACAGCCAAGAATACTCTACCCAGCAAGGTTATCATTCAAAATGGAAGGAGAGATAAAAAGTTTCCCAGACAAGCAAAAATTAAAGGAGTCTGTCACCAAGAAACCAGTACTACAAGAAATGCTAAGGGTACATATTTAAGGGGAAAAGAGAAAACCACAAATAGGAAAAAATATGTATTTCCATGATAAGGGTGTAATGGATACAAATGCACAAAAAAAGAGGTTAGATATGATATCAAAAACATAAAATGTGGGAGGAGGAGAATTAAAGAATAGAGCTTTGAGACAGAGGTCAAATTAAAGAGAATATCAACTTAGTATAGACACCTATATACGTAGGTCACTATATATGAACCCCATGGTAATCACAAACCAGAAATCTAAAATAAATACACAAAACTCTAAGAGAAAGGAACCCAAACATATTACTAAAGAAAGCCATCAAACCACAAGGGAAGAGAGCAAGAGAAGAAGACAGGAACAGAGAAGAACTACTAAAACACCAAGAAAAAAAGATTAAAAATGGCAGCAAGTACATACTTATCAATAGCTTCTTTAAATGTTAATGCACTAAATACCCCACTTAAAAGGCATAGGGTGGCATATTTGATAAAAAAACAAAACCCATATATATGCTGCATACAAGAGACACACATTAGATCTAAAGACACTCACAAACTGAAAGTGAAGGGATGGAAAAAGATACTCCATGCTCACACCAATGAAAAGAAAGCTGGGGTAACAACACTCATATCAGAAAAAATAAAGTTTAAAACAAAAATTGTAAAAAGAGACAAATAAGGGCACTACATAATGATCGAGGGAACAATCCAACAAGAGGACATAACACTTGTAAATATCTATGCACCCAATGTAGGAGCACCTAAATATATAAAGCAATTATTAACAGATATAAAAAACAGGAATAGAGAGTAACACAATAATAGTAGGGGACTTTAACACTCCACTTACACCAACGGATAGATCATCCAAACAGAATATCAATAAGGAAACATTGGCGTTAAACGACACACTAGAACAGATGGACCTAGTAGATATATACAGAGCATTCCATCCAAAAACCGAAGAATACACGTTCTTTTCAAATGCACATGGAACATTCTCCAGGATTGATCACATATTAGGCCACAAAACAAGTCTCCATAAATTTAAGAAGATTGAAATAATACCAAGCATCTTTTATGACCACAATGGTATGAAAGTAGAAATCAACTATAGGAAGAAAATCAGAAAAGCCACAAATACATGGAGATTAAACAAAATGCTACTGAACAACGACTGGGTTAATGAATAAATCAAAGAAGAAATCAAAAAATATCTGGAGACACATGAAAATGAAAATACAACATGCCAGAATTTATGGGATACAGCAAAAGCATTTCTAAGAGGAAAGTTTATAGCAATATAGGTCTATGCCAACAAACAAGAAAAATCTCAAATAAACAATCTAACAAAGCACCTAACGGAACTGGAAAAAGAAGAACAAGCAAAGCCCCAAATCACTAGAAGAAGGGAAATAATAAAAATCAGAGCAGAAATAAATGAAATATAGACTAAAAAATCAATAGAAAAAGTTAATAAAACCAAACGCTGTTTCTTTGAAAAGATAAATAAAATTGACAAACCTTTAGCTAGACTCACCATAAAAAAAGAAAGAAGGCTCAAATAAGTAAAATCAGAAATGAATTAGGAGAAATTACAACAGACACCTCAGACATACAAAAGATTATCAGAAAATGTTATGAAAAGCTATATGCCAACAAATTGGACAATCTGGAAGAAATGGATAAATTCTTAGAATCATACAACCTTCCAAAACTGGATCAAGAAGAAATAGAGAATTTGAATAGACGAATCACCAGGAAGGAGATCTAAACACTAACCAAAAACCTCCCTAAATATAAAAGTCCAGGACCAGATGGCTTCCCTGGTGAATTCTACCAAACATTCAAAGAATACTTAATATCTAAACTTCTCAAACAATTCCCAAAAATTGAAGAGGGGAGGAAGCTCCCTAACTCCTTCTATGAAGCTGATATTACCCTGATACCAAAACCAGACAAGGACAATGCAAAAAAAGAAAATTACAGTCGAATATCACTGATGAACATCAATGAAAAAATCCTCAAGAAAATTCTAGCAAATCGCATGCAACAATGCATTAAAAAGTTTATACACCATGATCAGGTGTGATTTATTCCAGGGATGCAGGGATGGTTCAACAGTCACAAATCAATCAACGTGATACACCACATTAATAAAATGAAGAATAAGTATCACATGATTATCTCAATAGATGCAGAGAAAGCAATTGACAAAATACAGCATCCATTCATGATAAAAACTCTGAATAAAATGGGTGTAGAAGGAAAGTACCTCAACATATTAAAGGTCATTTATGACAAACCCACAGCTAATATCATCCTCAACGGTGAAAAACTGAAAGCTATCCCTCTAAGAACAGGAACCGGACAAGGATTCGCACTCTCGCCACTCTTATTTAACATAGTACTGGAAGTCCTAGCCAGAGCAATCAGGCAAGAAAAAGGGATCCAAATTGGAAAGGAAGAAGTGAAACTGTCACTATTTGCAGATGACATGATTTTATATATAGAAAACCCCAAAGAATCCACCAGAAAACTTTTAGAAGTAATAAATGAATATGGTAAAGTTGCAGGATACAAAATCAACATACAAAAATCAGTTGCATTTCTATACACTAACAACAACACAACAGAAAGAGAAATTAAGAATACAATCCCATTTACAATCACAAGGAACAGAATAAAATACCTAGGAATAAATTTAACAAAAGAAGTGAAACACCTGTACACTGAAAACTATGAAACATTGTTGAAAGAAATTGAAGAAGACACAAAGAAATGGAAAGATAGTCCGTGCTCTTGGATTGGAAGAATTAACATAGGTAAGATGTCCATGCTTCCTAAAGCAATCTATAGATTCAATGCAATCCCTATCAAAGTTCCAACAACATTTTTCACAGAAATAGAACAAAGAATCCAAAAATTTATATAGAACAATAAAAGACCCCGAATAGCTAAAGGAATCATGAGGAAAAAGAACAAAGCTGGAGGTATCACACTCCCTGATTTCAAAATATACTACAAAGCTATAGTAAAAAAAGAGCATGGTACTGGCACGAAAACAGACCCACAGATCAATGGAATAGAATCAAAGCCCAGAAATAAACCCACACATCTATGGACAGCGAATTTTAAACAAAGGATCCAAGAACATACCATGGAGAAAGGAAAGTCTCTTCAACAAATGGTGTTGTGAAAACTGGACAGCCACCATCAAAAAAAAAATGAAAATAGACCCTTACCTTACGCCATACACAAAAATTAACTCAAAATGGATTAAAGACTTGAATATAAGACCTGAAACAATGAAATTTCTAGAAGAAAACATAGGCAGTACGCTCTTTGACATCGGTCTTAGCAACATATTTTCAAGCACCATGTCTGACTGGGCAAGAGAAACAATAGAAAAAATAAACAAATGGGACTACATCAAACTAAAAAGCTTCTGCACAGCAAAGGAGATCATCAACACAATGAAAAGACAACGTAACAATTGGGAGAAAATATTTGTAAACCGTATATCTCATAAGGGGTTAATTTCAAAAATATATAAAGAACTCATACATCTCAACAAGAAAAAAACTAACAACCCAATTAAAAAATGCGCAAAAGACCTGAACAGACATTTCTCCAAAGAAGATATACAGATGGCCAACAGGCATATGAAGAGATACTCAACATCACTTATTATCAGGGAAAGGCAAATCAAAACTAGAATGATATATGACCTCATGACTGTCAGAATGGCTATAATTAACAAGAGAGGAAACAACAAGTGTTGGAGAGGATGTGGAGAGAAGGGAACTCTCATATACTCCCGGTGGGAGTGCAAACTGGTGCTTCCACTATGGAAACAGTATGGAGATTCCTCAAAAAATTAATTATAGAACTACCATACGATCCAGCTATTCCACTGCTGGGTATTTATCCCAAGAATTTCAAAACTCCAATGCGTAAAGATACATGCACCCCTCTGTTCATTGAAGTATTATTCACAATAGCAAAAACGTGGAATTAACCTGACTGCCCATCAAGGGAAGAATGGGTAAAGAAGATGTGGTATTTATACACAATGGAATACTACTCAGCCATAAGAAATGATGAAATCCAGCCATTTGGGACAACATGGATGGACATTGAGGGTATTATGCAAAGTGAAATGTCAGAGGGAGAAGGTAAAATACCATATGATATCACTCATTAAGTAGTAGATAATAACTTCAAACAAACCCATAAAGACAGAGATGGGATTGGTCGTTACCAGAGGGGAAGGGGGGAGGGAGGCAAGTGAAAGAGATAATTAGGCACACGTGTGCGGTGATGGATTGTAATTAGTGTTTGGGTGGTGAACATGAGAACATGATGTAATCCATGGAGAAATAGAAGTATAATGATGTACACTTGAAATTTATACAATTTTATAAACCAATGTTTCCACAATAAAAATTAAAAAAAAATAACTTACTAAAAAAAAGAGAGAGAAGCCTCAAATAAGTAAAATCAGAAATGAAAGAGAAGATATTACAACTGACACCACAGGAATACAAAGGATCATAAAAGATTCTATTAAATTTTATATGCCAAAAATATTGGATAACATAGAAGAAATGGATAAATTCCTTGAACTATACAACCTACCAAACCAAATCAGGAAGAACTAGAACATCTGAAAAGAAACATAACGAGTGAAGCCATTGAATCAATAATCAAAGAATTCCCAACAAAGAAAAACACAGGATCAGATGGTTTTACTGTTGAATTCTACCAAACATTTAAAAAAGAATTAATGCCAATTCTCCTCAAACTCCTAAAATTGAGGAGGAGGGCTCACTCCAAAACTCATTTATATGGCCAGCATTTTCCTGATACTAATCCAGATAAAGACATTACAAGAAAAGAAAATTACAGATCAATATCCCTGTTGAATATAGACTCAAAAATTCTCAATATAATATTAAACTGAATTTAATAACACATTAAAATGATTATAAACCACGATCAAATGAGTTTTATCCCTGCAATGCAAGGATAATTCAAAATACACAAATCAATAAATGTGATATACCACATGAATAGAATTGAAGAGAAAAATCATAAGATCATTTCGATAGATGTAGAAAAATTATTTGACAAAATTCAACATCCTTTTATAATAAGAACTCTCAATTTGGGTGTAGAAGGAACATACCACAACATACTAAGGCCATATATGACAAGTCTGCAGCTAACAATATACTCAATAGTGAAAGGTTGAAAGTTTTCTTGCCAAAATCAGTAACAAGACAAGGATGCTCACTCTCACAACTCTTATTCAACCTAGTACTGGATGTCCTAGTCAGTGCATTTAGGGAGAACAAAAGGTAACAGTATTGGAAAAGAAGAAGTAAAATTGTAGCTGTTTACAGATGATAAGATCTTACATACATGAAATCTTAAATACTCCACCAAAACAAACTGTTAGAAATAATAAACTAAATCAGTAAAGTTTCAGGATACAAAATCAACATACAGTAATCAATTGTGTTTTCATATA